CCCCCCCCCCCCCCCCCCTCAGACACATCAACCAGCACACCAGCGTACAACTAATTAAAGGCTCATTCTCCAGCGCCAAACTTCCTATCACTTGAATTACCATCAGCTCATCCATACCTGACGACAAAGACCTAACTACCCATTGCTAACTACCCCCGCGCATGCGCAATGGCTAATTTACATCTCTGAGGGCGGAGTGGGGGGTCCGTATGCAAAGGAGCAGTGGAATCAATCAGCGCTGACGAGCACAGCCAGCAGCAGGGACAACGATACGGCCAATGCCGGCGGTGCCGTGGTGGTGGCTGCTCCGGTGCGTGGAGGCGGGAGGGGCGGGGGATAGACCAACAGCTCCTGAAAGAACGATCGACACGTGGACACAAGGCATCCACCCTACCACTTGTACACACCTGAGGGTATCTTTTGCCGCCGGATTGCGAAGGCTCGGCTCCCACTCGGATGACCACATACGAATCACTGCATGTGCACAGCGCATGTGTTGGATTGGCGTGCCATTTCATTCCTTCCCATCCACCCTTACTCTTTCCGGCACACAATCGGGGCGCTGTCGATCTCTTCGCCGTCGTCACTGCTCAACACGGCCCTGCACACTCACACAGAATCCATCCATTCATGTACCGTGCCCGCCTGACGTCCTTCTTCCTTGTGCCCCGTGGTGCGTGCCTGTATGGTCCCTCGTTGACGGCCACGACAGTGTCGAATCTCAGCTCCTCAGACCGGGACCTTGTTGAATCAGGATAGTCGTCGAATATCGACAAATGGGCTTCTGCGCCGCCCTGCACACACACGCACGCACATACGGTGAGTGAAACACATTGCACACATCTGTGTGCGTTGTGTGAGAGAGACCTTGTAAGCGTCTATGACGGCGATCTGTGATCCAAGCAGGTTTGCCGCGGAGAAGCTATCACGCCCGTAGACGACCAGCAGCAACAGCCCCTCAGCAGGCGGCAGCTCGGACACATAGAACGCCCCCCTCCCCCCATCTACGCACACACAAATGTGTTTGTTTTTCCTCCCTCTTGGGTGTCTATTGGTCGGCGTACCATCAAGGGTGAATTCGATTCCGTCTCCTCTTGTAAGTTTCGTCTCGAAGTCCCTGCAGCGCTTGTAACCCAACGGGCCACCACTCCTGGTCAGCCGTGTGGACCGATGGCGGATATGGAACCCTTTCCCCTCATGTGGGTGCGCGTTGCACACACGCAGCCGGTCCAGGAAGGAGATGTCCCTTGTGCCCTTGGTGAGTAACGTGTGGTTGGGGGCGGGGAGGGGCGGCGGGTCGGCGTTTGGGGGGATGACGGCGTACTGTAGGAAATAGTCGTCCTTGACCTGTTTGCGATAGAACATCGCGACGGCCGGCTGCACGTCCAGACGCCAATCGGCGTAGATACCACCGAAACCTGAACAGGGAGACAGACAGACAAACAGACAGACAGACGTGGGTGGGTGAATGGGTGGGCGCCGACTAGGTTCGTGTTTTGCGACGTTGAACCAGAAGATCGCCCCTAAGGTTTATCATACAAAATGTAAGCGGCATAACGAAACGAGACATGCATGAGTTGAGCATTTCACTGTTCGCGCAAACGTCCGTGTACGTCTCACGTATCAGCGGGAAGTCCCTTTTGAGGTTCTTGCCTTTGTCGTCGATATCGTATACCTCGTCTATCCACATACGCTTCACCTCGTACTAAACACACACACACACACCCCGAGTGCGGCCGTGCGTGTTCGCACTCACCTCGGTGACACCCTCATTTGTGCAGTTGTAGTCTTCATCCTCCCGCGCCACCAACGCCCGCTTCTTGGTCGACACACTCCCAGAGGTACTCTTCCCATACATCTTGTTCACGGGGCCATCCACGTTCCACATCGCGCCTGTCTCGGCGATCAGCACCGGCAGCCGCGGGGGCCGTCCCTCGCCCTCGGCCAGGCGCTCGTTGAGCTTCTCGGCGAACCTGTAGAACTCCTCAATGGGCGGGAAGAAGGAGTGCGGGAGTGGGACGATGTTGTTGCCTGGGATAAGTCGGCTGCCGCGGACTTCGTGGCCGAGGTGAAAGTAGGAGATGCCGATCCAGTCGATCAGCGCTGGGTTGGGCAGAAACTGCATGTACGGATCGTAGTGGTCGATTGAACTGACAGCAGTTTTTAAGTGACACAAGAGGAGACATAAGACAACCGTGTTGCATGGCGTGTCTGGGTGGGTGGGCGGGCGGGTGGTTACGCATTGTAGTGTGGTCCGCCTTTCCAAGGGAAACCCTGGGAACACGCACAGCACAGCACAGCACAGCATATGAACGAACAGAAGCCAGCAACGAACAGAAGCCAGCGCGTGTGCCGTCCATCTCCCTTTCTTACCCATTCCTGGTTGGGCGTCCACACCATCGCCTGGTAATCGACACACGCATAGACGACATTCACATTCACATGTAAGTCAAGTGTATGTGAGAAGTGTCCATCCCTTGTTTACCACTTGCTGGGCGAGCCTCTGTTAAGCGCATAAGGAAGGACACACGCACAGCACAGCGAATGAACGAACAGAAGCCAGCGCGTATGCCATCTATCTCCCTTTCTTACCCGCATGACAGATGCAAATTCCTCCCATTTGGTCTTGTACAGCTCAGGTTGCTGGCCCCACGAATTCCAGCTACACACATCCGCGCGCCCAGAGAATGAGTGGAGAGAGAGAGAGAGAGAGAGAGACATCAATTGCCTCCGATGGAACCGTTGATCACCTGCCGTTCATCTCATGGTTCCATCGGAGGAAGACCGGCACGTCTTTCCAGGTGTTGAGGATGAGAGCAAAGTCGTTCACGTGCTTGCGCGTGTACGAATCGAGACCCTTGGGCGTCTGGAGGGTCAACATTGCCATGGCCTTGTTCTCGCGACACTCGCGCATGAACTTCACCAGCTGCAGACAGATGGGCATTGGTGTGTTCGGGGGAGGGAAGAGCTGCTTTGCGTGTGGTCGGTGGATTACCTCTCTGAGTTTATTCTCGTCGGTCGTGACATTTGGGAAGCTGATGAACTGCATGAAGGCCGCATGGTGGATACCCGTGCGCTGGTTGAAGGCCAACATCGGCTGGGCACCCTGACACACACCATACACGACACACAGCGCACCACCATCCGCTCTCTCTGCCTGTCTGTCTGTCTGTGCGCCCCCTCCCTCTCTGTCTGACCGCTAAGGTGGCTCCTAGGTAAACCCCTGGGCCCGGGACGGGACGGTGGGCGCGCATCTTCTTTCCCCATCCCCTGTACCTATCGTCCACAGCACCATCACCAGCAGCAGCGGCAGCGGCGGCGGCGGCGGCGGCGGCATCACCACGTACACCAAAACGACCAGCATCAACAGCAACAGCGTCAATAGCATCGGCGGCCTCAACACCATCCGGTGGCGGTGCTGTTGGGACGATGATCGTGTCTTCGGTGCTGCCAGCATCAGCAGCAGCGGCGACGGGCCCCTTTGTGGTGCAGTTGCCGGTGCACGTAGAGATGCTTGAGTTGCTGCTTGAGTTGCTGCTTGAGTTGCTCTGGAGGCCGCGCACAGTAGGGCGGGGTTCGTCGCTGAGCATGGTGTCGGTGGTGACGAGGGGCCGCGGGAGGGCCCAGCATAGCGTCAGCAGAGCGGGCGTCAACAGAAGAGCGCCTGCTCTCCTGGCGGCGGACGCCATTCTGTCTGCGGCCTCCTCTGCCGTTATTCAGGCGTTGGAAGGCATTCTGTATATTTGGGCACGCTCGGTAGCCTTCTGCGCGATGTCGCTGCGCTGCCTGCCTGTGTTCCTCCTGTGTTATTGGTACGAGGGGCTTTTCGTGCGTGGCCAAGACGAAGGCGACACGATCATCGTCCCAACAGCACCGCCGCTGGATGGTGTTGAGGCCGCCGACGCTGTTGACATTGTTGCTGTTGGTGCTGGTCGTTTTGGTGTGCGTGGCCAGGCCCAAGTGGGACCGCCATCTGCAGCGAATGCTATTGGAGCGAATGGCGTCTACTTGGGAGGCATCCTGCAGCCACCGGAGGTGGGTACGCAGGGCAGTCACATGGCAACCCGCTGTTCGTATCTGTCGTGGGGTGCAAACGGGACAGACACAATCCGCTTTCAACGCCCGCACACAAGTGAGGTAATCACACACACCTGGCACACACACTCACAGAGAGAGAGAGAGAGAGAGAGAGAGGATGAGAAGCGTGTATGAGCACGGCGCAGGCATGCGGCATTTTTGCACTTCATCAAGTTCCCCGAGGCGGTGAATGACACTCACGAAGAACATGCGTCCGTCTCAGACTTTCTTACCGAGTGCAAGGAGAACGGTGCGATGGCCGCGCTGACCGTCATGACAGACGGCGGTACGCCTGGCACATGAAAGCCCCGCGGCGGCCCATTGTGTGTGCTTGTTGTAGGGCTGCACTCATACAGCGTCCAGCAAATCAATGATTTCGCAGACTTCCTCAACATTTGGTCGGACTCAGTACCCATCTGGCTCCGTTTCAATCACGAGATGAACGGAAGGTACGCAACGCAGCCCACGGCAGCCGCTCGGCAAATGAAGGTTACATCTGCGGCTTCTTTTTGGTGGCATTCTTGTTTTTTCAGTTGGTACTCATGGTGAGCGAGGCACTGATCGGATCACAGGGCACGCGCAAACTGATTCTGTCTCTCCGTTCCGTCGATCGATCAATCAGGGGTCAGCAACCCGCCCTCTACAAGAGCAAGTTTGAGGAGTTCTCGCGAATCATCAAGGTGGGGTCCCATCTCTACCTTCACGACTCCCGTCCTGGATTCTGCTCGTCACGCAGGCTCGAACGACACACGTCGCGATGGTGTGGACGCCCAATTACGAGTACGTCAACAGAGACACCTCTGGATGTCTTTCGTCCACTCGTCGTCTATCTGAGTGGGCTGCACGAACAGATTAGGCTTTCCATGGCCAGGAGAGAAGTACTCCAATCCGAGTGTTGGCCGCGAAGACCCCTACTGGCAGTTCTTCCCCAACTCGTCAGACACGGTGAGAGACAGAGAGCTGCCACATGCAGTGAGAAAAAGAGATAGTCAGCCTGTGTGTTTAGGTTGATTGGATTGGTATGAGGTGAGAGTGCCCTCCCTGACGCTGACCCTTCGTTCGTCACTCTCACTGCTTGCATGCCTGTCGGCTGTTGCAGTTATTATCATTGGGGCGATTGTGACAGCGCAGGAGCACTTGGGTGCAACGTCATTCCACAGGTAGGTAGCGCAAGTCCGTATTAGTGGAAATGTGATCTTCATCCTTTTCTCTTGTTTTCCCCTCTCTCTCTCTCTCTCTCTCTCTGTCTCTGTCTCTCAGCGAGGAAAATTTTACCGTGCTGTTGGCCAATTCTACAACGAGGTTGCTGCTCGGCTGAACAAGCCGATGATGGTCTCTGAAACGTCGTCGCTTTTCCACACTGGCCGCGCAGGCGCATCTGAGGTACACACGTGATGGCGGATGCTAATCCGTTCTTTCTGTCATCATGCTCATGCACTTCTGCAGATTGACATCAAGTCGGCCTGGCTGCAGCAGGTCTATGGCAGTCTGCATGACTTCCCCCTGATATCAGCGGTCTTCTGGTTCAACATACACAAAGATGAACCCATAGTGGGCGGGGATGTGGACTGGTGTCTCGATCGGAATGAGGCGGTGACGGCGATTTATCGCGAAATGGTCCATAGACCCAGTTTCATTCAGTCAATGTCTTGATATGACGGCACAGCTTAAGGTCATGTATACGCACACATAGGCGCATTCGTGATTGGCCTTTTCCCGGTGACTGGCTTGTTTGTTCGGAATTTTAATTCTGGCGGTCGTCGCTTGTTTGTCTGACGGTTTTGGGAATGCCAAAGAGAGACTGCCTGTGTGTACGTATTTTCTGCTGGCGTGTGTCGATGTACAAAAGTTACGGCCTACAGTTGCACTCACTGCTCTGCGGGTGTGGCTAGCTAGTGGATGTACAGTGTTTCGCATTGGCATGTCTGACGGATGCTGCGGCAGGTCGGTCAACGTACCCTTAAGCTTCTTGGGATGGATGAGCGTCAGACAGTTTCAGTGTGGGCTGTGTGTTGGGCTGTGGATCGGTGTGCAGCAACGCGTGCACTTGTGTGTGGCTCTCTCTGGGAGACACGTGGTAGTTGGTTGTGCCGTTTTAACGAGTTGCTGCGAAGTGCTGTCGGGAGTTGTGGCGATGCTGGTGGAGATCTGGGTCATGACGGCAGAGATCTCGGCCTCCACAGCTTGAAGGCCTCGCTGCTGCACCAAAAAGATAGACGGGGGGTGGGTGGGATTTAAGCTCAATACGTGACGGAGTGCGTCAGGGGACAGTGGTTGGTTGATGGATGGCAAACGTGTACATGTGCAGGTAGTATGAAGACACGAATGTACCAATCGGTCACACACGCTTCCCAGCTAGAACAGGGGCAGTAAGTCGAGGCGACCGAGACAAATATGACGCACAGACTCAGGCAGGCAGGCAGGCAGGCAGGTAGGGCGGCTATATTGAGACACGCCAGCCGTGTTCACAATCAGTTGCTGCACACATGACACGAACGACATGCCACACGAGATGCCACACCCACATCCAGCCAGCCAGCCACCGAACCTACCTACCTACCAGTCAGTCAGTCAGTCATTGTGCGTGGCATGCCGGCCAGCCTAGCTGTCCTTTTGGTTAACAAAACTGGACCAGCTCAGGGTTAGTGGCCTGTCACTCGTCTGCGTGTGAGTACCGCACCACACCACACCACACCACAACAGAAATTCCCCCCCATACACACGTCTGTCCCTGTCCGTCCACCCACCGGCCTGTAGGTATACCTGCGTCCATCGCACACACAAAGACCTCTTTGCGCCGGCTGCCTCTGTAAGTATTATGTTTACGTTTCGTCACGTACCTGTCTCGGCCATCGATTGCGCGCCGATGTGTGTATGTATGTCATCGTGCTTATCTCCGTTTGTCTGTCTGTCTGTCTGTGTATCCACTTGCCTGTCTGTCTGGCTGTTTGCCTGTCTATTTATTGTGTTCACCATGCGATGTAATGCAATGGGACGCGAAATGGGACAGCCACCGTCCGCCATCAGCGACAACATAAGAATAGTACTAGTGTCGCCCGACAGCCCCGCTTTGCCACTGCTGCTCATCTTGTGAAGGCTCTTCTAGACCAACAGCCACCACCCTCACCCGACGAGGACGACGATGAGGGTGATGGCGAGGGCGAGGGCGATGGTGATGGCGATGCCCCTCCACCACAGCCACCTGCAGCAGCCATGGGGCCAGCAGGCTCTCCCCGCCCCAATCCACCAACACCTGCAGTGTCTCTGGGGTCGAAAGGCAACACGAGTGGACGGTCGCTCCGCTGGGCGGGAGGGGTCTCAACTGCCCGGGCGATGCTGTTACTTCTGCTGCGTGCACTGTCCTTCGGCCCCTCCTCCCCTGCCTCCGCTGCTGCTGCTGCTGCTGTTGCTGCCGCTGCTGCCGCTGCTGGTGTCGGTGCTGTGTACTCGACCGTTGCTTCCTGCTTGTTGTCCATCCGTATCTTGTGCAGCATCTTCTGCACATGACCCATGTGCAGCTGGCTTCTTGCCACGCCATAAGAGGCCAGAAGGTAGTGCGTCTGCATCTCGCTCGGGCTCAGGAGGTACTGCACCGCAGCGACAAGCAGCAGCGGGCTCGTGATAACCATGCCGAGCCCAAAGTGCCACAATCGCATGGTCTCGACGACCGGGGCCCACTCGAGGACGCCGAAGCACTCTGCCAGGAGGTTGGCCACGCAGGAGAAGGAGAGCAGGCAGGCCGCCATGCCGCCGATGACAGTGCCAAAGGAGAGGCGGTAGGTGGGGGCAGTCACATGAGGGGTCAGCAGGAGCACCACTATACCGATCTGCACCGCTCCGGCTGCCAGGGTCACGAAACGGGATATCACTCGATGCTGCAAACCGTGCATTCATCGGAGGAGAGACAGAGACAGACAGACAGACACAGTGTTTCTTGTGGGAGGGTAGGGGATACCGTTGTGAGAGTGCTGTGGAGGTTGGGTTGGTGCGTCTTCTTGCCCCTGTCGGTGGACATGCCCATGGCCACCACCAGCAGCACCGTGAAGATCAGCGGCGCCAGCAAAGGGCTCTTCTCAGCCAGGCGCTCCAGGTCCTCCTGGCTGGTGGCCCACGTGACGACGCTCTCGTACGTCCAGCCCCCTTTAGGCATGCTCAGGCTTATCAGCTCATGCCATTGCCTGCACACCGTGTGGCCATCCATCCATGCATCGCTCGCCTCCTTTGTGCAACGCACCGTGACGCACCCACCAGTTGGCTGCTTTGGCGAAGCAGAAGGCTAGGAGCAGGAACCTCCACTCGCGTGTGAAGATGATGACCTTGTTGAGTGGCGAGGCGCTGTTGCGGAACTCCATCTGCTGCCGCCACCAGGCGTACCAACTCTCGTCAATGTCATGCCTCTCCTGATATATATACACACACACACACACACACACGAGTGAGGGGGGGAGGGAGGGAGGATGGAAACGCAGCGCAGCGCACTGACCGTTGACCGCATCCACTTTGAGAAGGTGATGATATCGGAGGTGAGGTGGCCCCACGAGAGGCCCATGGGGTTGTAGAGGTGCGGCACGTACAGGAACGACCCCGCCAGCAGGTACAGCCACCACATGCTCACAGCTCTTATCGGGTGCATATCCTGCAGAAACTGCACACACACACAAACACACACACACACAAACCCACACGACACGTGACACACACGTGCAACGAACGCCCCACACTCCCTCCACTCTCCCTCCAACACTGACTGACGCGCAGATAGAAGAGCAGGAGCAGCAGCTCCACGGCGACTTGGAAGTGGGAGTAGTAGTATTGCTTCCAGAGGTGGATGAGGTCTCTGTGGTTGACGGTAAACCCCCGGCCAGCATTCAGGTACTTGGCCCGGCCGAACAGGATCGTCTCGTCGAAGCTGCTGGCCCATGTGCCGACTGCACAGAGGACAGAGGAAGACATACCGCATCACATCACACACACGTCGGTGTGGCTGGATGGGTGGCTGGATGGGTGGACGGTTTACTTGTGAAGGTGTAGTGTAGGGGAGACAACGACCGGATGTGGAACCACAGGTGCTCGATGCCCGCACCGACGCCGTTCTCCATAGCAACCATCGAGCAGTACCTACCACACGGACACACACAGTGTGGAGGCAGGAATGAGACACAATACAAGCTCCCTCCCTCTCCGGATTTACTTGAGGTAGAAGAGTACGACCAGGACCAGCCAGAACACTTCCATCCCGTCAATCGCGCGAGAATCCTCTCCCTTCATAAAGGTCAGCAGCCGCCCAGGGATATAGGCTGAGCGTGTCACCCACCCACCCACCCACCCACCCACACCACACACGCACACACAGAGGGACAGAGAGAGGGATACGCATGCGTCCCTGCTCTCTCTCACCGATGAAGGCGTGGATGAGTATCCGGGAGTACATTCTCAGCCACAGGAGGAAGAACCCCAGCGGATTGAGGATGTTCCACCCGGGGAAGGCCGCGAAGAGCGACAGCAGGCGCAGGAAGTCCATCCCGTAAGCCATCCTGTAAGCGTCCCGGCTGGACGTCTGCGCCTCGGCGCTCCCGCACGCCACCTTGCGCATGAACGCCACCACTTGATCCAGGTCGTTCGGCCAGCCCTTCGAACACTGGACACACACACGGACACACATCCATCCATCCATCCATGTGTGTGGGTAGTGGTGCGATTGGATTTACCATGATGTAGTCGACTTGTGAGGAAGAGTATCCTCTCTGGACGTAATTCATGCCGCAGTAGACGTCCTCGGTCACGTTGATAATGGCGCTACCCCTGCTCATGCCGCCCATCGTCTGCACGAGGTACCGGTCCAACACGTCAGGGTGGCCGTAGTGGAACCGCACTCGCATGGGCATGTGGAAGGCCCGCGCGTCGTGGGAAGTGAAGCACGTCTGCTGCACACTCGCCAGGTAGGAGGGCGTCAGGGCCCCGGGGAGGATGGCGTGCTCGCGGAATCCCATAATGGCCATCTTGGAGTCTTTGGCGAACTCTTGCAGGAGGTTGCGCAGCTTGAGGGCCTCCTCTAGGTACATTTCCTGGTTCATGTCGATGGCCTGGATGGTCTCGCCGCGCGTGAAGATGATGGCGTGGTTCTGGTTCTCACTCTTGCCCTCCCCGACAATAGGATTCCTGCAGACACACGCACAGAGAGAGAGAGAGAGAGCATTCAAGTCACACGGAAACGCACCATCCACCGAATGGTGTGTCTGTGTCTGTCTCTCTGACCTGGCCCCTGCGGCGCCCTCCAGCAGCCCCAGCACGATCCTATACACCCGCACCAGCCGCTGCTGGCTGACGTCCCACCTGTACAAGACCGAGCAACGCGCCGTCTTGGCCTTGCCCGAGGGAAGGACGATGTCGCAGTTCTCGATGGCCGCCACGCGCATCGTGGGGTAGCGCCTGCACATCTCGGTGATGCACCGGACTCGGTTGGCGGCGGAGATGTTGGAGGGAGGGGCCTTGAGGTCCTCGCCCAGTGTCTGCGCCGTCAAGACGTACTGGAACCGCAGCACTGCCAGCGCCTGATGAACGAGCAAAGGAAAGGCATACACACACATGGGCCCACAGACAGGTGAGGGGAGTTCGCTGTGAGTGCTCTGCTTCCCACCTTTGCAACGGGGTCGTTATTGTAGGGCCTGTGGTCGGTGGACGTCCTGTGCTTGTGCCACCGGTCCCATCGACGCAGGAACTCTACAGACCAGACACGCAGGAAGACAGGCAGGCAGGCAGGCAGGCAGGCAATGGGAGCACCACCATTAGCACACCCGCTGACTCACCTATCATCTTCTCCGGTGTGTCTGGCTGGACGGGGACCTTCTGCCAGTTGAGCCGCTCGTTCTGCTCGAAGGACAGCAGGTTGCGGTCGTGGCACAGGTGCACCCTCAGCCCCCGCTGCGCCTGCAACTCCATCCACGCCTGTCAGACAGCCAGACAGGGTGATGGGTGTGTGCAGTGTTGGGTGGCTGACTGACTGACCAGCATCCTGCAGGCTTGTTCGTAGTACATGACGGACCTCAGTGTGCGCCAGAGGGTCTGCGTCCTGTTGGACGCCCACTCCTCTATGTCCTTCTCAAACCTATACACGCACACACACACGCACACACACACACACACACAGCACGACGCATTTTGGCACGTCTGTGGATGGATGTCCATGGATCACTGCGCCCTTACTTGGCGGCCATAGTGTTGGTGTCTTTGCTGAGGACGCCCCTGTGTGTCTGGCTGTGCTGGTACCAGTCGTATCGCACCCCCTGTGGGTCCATCCTCTCCAGGAAGTTGGCCCACTCCTGGCTGTACATGGTGCGGATGAAGTCGAACTGACACACGCCCTCCATCGTCTTCTCGTTCAGCATCTGCACCACACACAAACACACACACACCCCTCCATCCATCCATCATTTAGTGCTGTTGGGTGGGTTACAGCTGCGTTCATCATGGCGTCCTCCGTGTATGTGGGGGTGAATGTGCACATGGACACCATCCGCTGCACGCTGGGCGCCTCGGGCATCTCCATGAACAGCGAGCTCGAGAAATACTTCAACCTGCACACCCACCCACACACACGGCAGAGAGGGATGCAACGTGTGCGTGGGTGTGGGTGTGGGTGTGGGTGAGGATCGCGTACCTGGTCTGTGCGAGCCCCGTCTTGAGTCTGTATCCATGTGCTGTGAGGATGCGGTTGGCCCGGCGGAAGAAGAGCTTCAGCGCATCAGATAACCTCAGAGGCTGATGCACCAGAACCCTTTCCTAAATGCAGCACAACCACAACCACAACACAACACAACACAGCACAACACAACACAACAGACCAAACATCCATGCTCCGTTGCCATCACCCACCCACCCACCCACCTGCAGGTCATCTACGCTCCACCACTCTTCTTCGCGGGCCGTCTCCTCGCCTTTGACAGCAGTCGCATCACCACACTCGCACTCGTCCATGTCGCTTTCCCCACCACCACCACCACCACTGCCCACAGAGGCCTCTGTGCTCGCCACTGGCAGTGGCGGTGTTGCGGCAGCAGGCGATACGTACCTCGCCGTCCCACTTTCTCCCACACCGAGCCGACGAGCATGTGCTTCGAAGTCCCTCACCGGGGGGTATGATGGTACATGTGGAGACGCCTCTGATGACGAGAAAGTGGAGGTGGGGGTGTCGTATCGTGGGCTGTAGAAGACGTCGGACCCACTACTGGCCCGGCTGGAGCCGAAGTCCCTGTCCACGCGGTCCATCAGGCTGTCCAGGGCGGTCTTTGTCCCTGTCTCAGTCTCGGTCTCGGTCTCTGTCTCTGTGTCGTCCCAGCTGGCCGTCTCGCTCGACGAGCGGAAGGAGGCGTCAGTCGACATGGGCGTGTTGGTGTGGGTGTGGGTGTCCGCCTTGCCCACACTGACACAAACAACACACACACGCCAAGTGGCCGGATGGGTGGGTGGGTGGATGGATGGATGAGGGTCTCTTGCCCACCCACCACTTGAGGGACTGTCTGATGGCGAGTGTCTCGCCGACGGCCTCGAGGAACTCCACCAGCTCCGGGAAGTGCCGCAGCATGCCTCGTGACGCCAACACGGGCGAGCCGCGAGTGGACAGGAGGGCGGGGAGGGCCACCTTTTGAAGCGCCTTGAGCAGCCTGACGCCGCTCTCCTCCACTTTGACCGCGTTGTCGCCCTGTGCTGCGGCGAAGACGGCCGCCAGGGTGGCCTGCAAGTCCTTGGCCGCATTCAAATTCAGCAAACACAGGCAGAAAGGGTCACGGCCCACCTGATCAGCACGGACATGCAGACAGACATCTGTTGCCGTCTGTGTGTTGCCCGTCAAACGGCTTACTCACCCGTCGGACAAGCGAGCAGAGCTTGAAGGCGATGCTGCCCCCGTCGGGGAAGAACCTCGTCAGGTACAAGCACAGCGCCTCATAGATCTCCAGCAGCGCCAGCCGCAGCAGAAACTGGTGGCTGTCCTTGCGCGGGTCGGCCAGGGTCACCGTGGACTTGCCGAAGTGCCTCCTGACGAAGTCTTCGCCCGCCTTCGTGAGGGCTCTCTTGACTTTGGCCTTGGCTGTGAGAGCCCATTGGCTGCTGCTGGTGGTGGTGATTGCTGTGGATGTGGGAGGGAGGTCCAAGACTTCTTGCAGGTGTAGTTGGGTGAAGTTGTCATTGAAGCGATAATGGGCCTGAGAGGAAGACACACAGAGGGAGGGAGGCAGGGAGGGAGGGAGGGAAGGGTGCGTATTAGGGGGGATGGACAGCGTCTCAGAGGCACTCGCTGACTCACTCACCCGCAGCCCCTCCCAGATGTCATTGACGTGGCTCTGGTGCTTCTCACATTCCCTTTGGAAGGTCTTGAGGACGTCGCAGTACACCCACACCGGATGCCGGATCTCACCATCCCACGACACGCCCACATCGCCCTCCTCATGGCAACTCGCCATGGTCAGCTCCTGCAGGAAGGAAGGAAGGGTGAATGGCCTGGCCTTGCGTCTCTCTCTCCTGTGTGCGAGTACTCACACTGATGTCTTTGAAGTGTATTGCCGGCAGCTCGTTGAACTGCAGCTTGCACCTCTCGGCGTTGTCGATGGAATCCTCCTCGCGCCATGACTCAACCACCTCGTTCCACAGAAAACCAAACCTGAGCAATCAATGAATGGGTCGGACAACTGCGTCACACACACGACCACCCACCCACCCACCCGCCCACCTTCGGATTTGGTGCTCGACAGTCTCTGCCGGGACGGTGTTGTCATACACGGCAGCGATCTCACGGTGCCACCAAGACCCACCACCCCCCAGCACGTCTGCAGGCTCCTTCCTCCGACACGGCGCATTGGCGAGGCCGCCAGTATGACCGGCGTGAGCAGCAGGGCCGAATGGGTCGCCGGTGGCACCGCAAGCCGCCGTGGGCCGCGGGGAATAATCTGACTCGCTGTCCTCCGCGTTGGGCCCTTGTGCGTGCAGCAAAGGCAGGGTGCGCCGCCTGCATGTCGAGGGAGGGGCGGAGGTGTACGTGGATGTCGGGAGGGGCAGAGAGGGGCGGATGAGCACGCTGGTGAGGGTCTCACCAGCAGTACCATCAGCAGCAGCTGTGTCTTCATCCACAGCCACCGACGCATTGGCGGCTTTCCTGTGATGGTCTGATGTGTCTGTGTTGCGGGTGTTGGTCGGGGGGAGGGGCAGGGCCATGTTCGAGGTCGGGGTGGGGCGGGACGATTGCCGGGACGTTTTCCGCAGCGGGTGAGCGTACTTTGGCCGCGAGTGAGACCTGACGCCCATCGCACCCCCACCACCAGCAATGTCATCTGTGCTGTGTGCGTGGCTGACATGACATACCTGAAGTAAGACTTGGGCGTAACCTTCATCCGCTGCTTCCGTCGGAACACGCCGCAGCAGAGGCAGCACATGATGCAATGCAGCAGCCAGTCGAGCCCGGAGCCATTGGCGTTGGGCGAGGGCGACGTGGGGAGCTGCAGGCCGTGGAGGGAACCGCCCGCATCTTCGGACAGCAGACGGTCGTACTGCACACGCATCAACCAACCAACCAACCAGGAACACACAGGCACAACAGACACATGGATGGATGGATGGATGTGTGTGTGTGCGTCACGGAGGGTGGGAGAGTGGGGGCCCACCTGTACTGGCAGCAGAGGGAAGACCTTTTGGATAACCGAAAGGTTGTGGATGAAGCCGATCTGACACACACACACGAAGAAAGAGGTACATGCACACAAGCAGCTGCCCTCGCCTGCCTGTCTGTTCCGCTGTCGGACTCACTGGCTAACACTTACCCCCCTGAACCATCCAATGAGCCAGCTGACAAAAGATTGGAATATCGAAAAGTAAAACTGACCACACACACACACACACAGGTCGTTCGGCCGGTCTGTCGGCGCCTGACTGGCTGACCATGATATCGTAGAAAAAGAGCAGGAACATGGGTGGCACGTAGTAAATGAACAGCGTCACCTTGGGCATGTCCACAAAACGAAACCACAGAAACTGATACCTGCAAAGAAGGAGGCGAGCCGACACACCAAGGCATCACCACTCCGGGCACACATACTCTGCTACAGTCCGTGTGTCTTGTGTCTGTGTCTGCGTCTGTGGTGGTAGGTGTGTGCGCACGTGAGCGGCTCTCCGTCCGAGCTGTTGACGAGCTCCAGAAACTCCATGAAGGAGCTGACCAGAAAGGTGTAGGTCATGTACAGCTTCGACACAATAATCGGCGCCCAAAACAGCCCATACGCCGCCTGCACACACACACACACACACGCGCACACACCAACGCACTGTGCACGGCCACCTTCCAGCCCCCACCGACCCACCCGCCCACCCTCGACGCCCACCAAGTGTCTGTACTCGTCGCTGAGCATGGTGGCGTTTCCATAGTACGTCGCGTGAGAGCTCCAGTTGGAAGGGTTCCTGCGCCAGCACCGCACGGCCCTCCGCGCACGGATGAGAAAGTACGACAGCCCGTGGGCAGCGTAGAAAACGAGGTAGCCGCCGCAGATGTACCCTGTCGGCTGCAGGAGGGGGTCGCTCAGGCCACTGGGGCTCGTGTGCCTGACGTACACGGCGGCCAGGAAGAACCCCCACCGGACGGCCGCCATGCCTTGACGAGCCCACCTGCACACCACACACACCATGGCGAGAAGAGAATGAATGGCTGTGTGGACTAGATGGGGTAGGGTACCAGTTGAGCCGCCTCATGTTCTCGATGACGTCGTAGGCCCGCTGCAGGAAGGGCATGGGCGCCAGCCAGTAGAAGAAGATGTCCAGCATCTCGCGAACGACCCCGCCTCCAGAGGACCCCATCGCCACCATGCCCCACCAACCATCCCAGTCCCACCCTGATCACCCCACACAACACACACACAGACGGTCGGAATTGCGGTGTGGTGTGGTGTGGCACTCACCGACCTTTTTGCCGTGCGCGGAACGCCATCAGAATGAGAAGGGTGACCAGGTGGGCGTGGTAGAACCGCCACCAGGTGCGGAAGAACTGTCGACGAGACGAACGAATGAGCGCATAACATGTATGTGCAACACTTACACCCAAGCCTCGCACGCACCCGTCCCTGCCTCCCTCCCTCCCTCCCTCCCTCCCCCACCCACCCACTTACATGCAGGTAGCTCCGCTGCTCGATGAAGGTCTTCCTCCGCCCTCTGGGTGGGTGTATATGGACGAGCTGGCGCGACTGCGTCTCCATCCTGATGACGGCGATGAGGTTGCCCTTCCACACGCCGCCCAGGCCGGCCCTGCCCACCACGCCCAGCCACCTGTGCACCAACGGGGCCTTGTGAAATATTTCGTTGAAGTCCTCGTAGTTCATCTTGACGGGGTGGTCGCCAGAGGCACGACTGACGGACAAATCGGCAGACACACATTTGGGTGCAGGCAGCTCACGCCCACAGGTAGGTGCATGTCCACGCACCGCATCTCTTCCCAGAACATGTTGATGACCGGGCTGATGGTCTCGATGTAGGCGGGCATCTTGTGGGGCTCGACGTCGTCCCAGCTCTTGACCATCCAGTGGAAGATGAACAGCAGCATCTCGGGGCAGTGACGCAGGTTCGCCGACTCGCCCCACAGCAGCTTCCACAACGCTATCTCGCGGGCCATCAGCACTGAACGAAGCGACACGCACACACGTACACATACACACATACACGCCCCAAGACGTCTTTCTTTCTTACTCAGGAGCGTCTTTGGGTTCTTCCTCTGCTTCTCCTTGTGTTTCTCGTAGGCCACGGCTGCCGAGGTCCTTTTCTTTGGCTTGGCCCTGCCCTCGCCCCACGGGAACGGTTTGACGCCGACGTAGGGGCACCACCTGCGGTAGTTCTTGAAGAGCTTCCAGTGGAACCGATACAGCACGTACTCCTCCAGCCGAGTGAACCCCCTGTCGCGCATCGCACGCGTCACCTGACCAACCACCCACACACACACATACACATACACATACACATACACACATGGCCGCGAGTGTTGACGCCTTGTGTGTGGACGCACCAACCGCACCTCGGTGGTGGGAGGGTGGTCTCTGAGTGCGATGGAAATGAGCGAGTATGCGATGTCCTCATACTGGTTGTGGTAGCTGTCCTCCTGAAACCGGAACTTGTGCACGATCTCCTCAAACACCGTCACGCCGTCCAGCCCCTGGGGCGCTTGGAACAGCCGCAGAATGTTGCGAATGATGGTCTGGTACTCAGCCATCTCCTCTGGGTGCTCTGCAGCGGGGGACAGCAGCCCATCGCCGATGAGGTGGCCGTCGATGACGTCGATGAAGTTGCGCTTGCTGGTCTCGCTCTCGGGCCACGTCAGCCACGAGGGCGCCACAAGAGGCAATGCCATCCTCCTCCTTCAAAATCAGGCTTTTAAATAGAGCAAAGGGGGTCGGGGAGAGGGGGAGAGGAGGGGGTGAGAAGCAAAGCGCGACACGTCGTCCTTCAGCTCAGTAGAGTCGTTCAGCTGAGGTGGCTGCCACAGTGTACGGCAGCAACGGCATCATCACAGAAGAGCGGAGCTTGAATGGAACCATGTTATAATAGTATGTATATATGTGTGTGTGCCGACGTGGAAGGCGCGGCACGCAGGTCCTCGCCCCTGTTTTGGCCGTTAAGATGTACTATTATTCCTGTCCTACGCAGAATGGCAAGCTGCGGCCATGGATGTGTGTGCGGGGGAGGTGCATCGCTGTGTCTTGCTCTTCGACACGTCCTCTTCCCTCTCTCCTTTTTTCCTCCTCTCCCGCTGCGAGCTTATGGTCCGTGAAACCGAAGGCGAGCCGAGAAAGGGAGAGATAGCGCGCGCATCAACGACACAGCGAAAACGACAGCAGCGCCTAGTGGACGCCTCGCTTCATCGCGAGAGGAACTTCCTCTGATTGACATCGCTTGTCGCGTATAATCGTGCTTCTCATGAGGGCGCTATTAGCGACGCATTGAGTATCGCAGCGGACGAGTGTGGCGCCCTTCCGCAATTCGAGCTGTAATATGATAGAGGAGACGTGTTTGTGAGAGTCGAGATGGAGGAGACTTTGCCAGCTATCCCAGAGGAGCCACCCGGCCTCCCTCGTGTGGCACATTCCCTCCCTCACGCAAACGCACCCCCCGCGACCCACCAGCTGCCCTGGCAATGCCGCTCGAAGTCGGCGTCGCTGCCCTCGGCGTCGCCGCCGACACATTTGGAGGTCGACAAGGCCGTCCTGACTACCACCCCATCTCATCCCCTGCCCCCGCTGCCCACTCCCGAGCGCGTCATCGGCATGTGGCAGCGCATCCATCCCTCGTTTCGTGTCGCCCTGCTGGCCCTGCTGCGGACGTGCATCAAGAATGCCACCATTGAGTACGAGATGGCCATCATCCGGGCGGCGGAGATCCTGCAGTCTCGCCAGCTGCCCAAGGAGGACCTCGCGACGGTCGTCTACCACTCCATGTGTCTGCTCGACCGGCTAGAGGACGCCGAGGCCAAGCGCGAGCTCAACAGGAGCTCCACCCCACGAGCCAGCCATGGCGGCCATGGCACCCCGGCCCTCCCAACTGGTGAGGGTCATGGGCACGGTGGCCATGATGGCGAGGGCGAGAGGGAGCCCGCGGCCAAGGACCTGTGGAGGGCGTTCGAGTGCCTCTACCTGAGCTTCTGCCTCATCGAGGACGAGCAGATCTCGGCACGGTCATTCATATGGCCACTGCGATACTGCTCGGAGGCGCTGAGGCGGATAGAGGGGGAGAGTGGGGGCGGTGCGGGTGCGGCCCGTGCTAGCGGGGGGGCGACGGCGAGTCCCAATCGACTGTGCTGCCAGACAAGGAGGCTTGCTGAAGTGTTTAATCGAGACATCGCGCAGCTGCTGGTCAGTGCGGTGCACCCACTCCTGCGCCTGCCGTGTGTGCTGGTCGAACAACTCTGTCTGTGCCTTCTGTCTGTCTGTCTGTCTGTCTGTCATGCAATGGTTCAGGCCCTACTCAACTACCGTGTGCTGGTGCCTGCCTCCCAGCTGCAGCGCGCACGTCGGCGTGTGGAGGGTCTGGTCAACCTGGGCCGTGCGTCGACGTCCCCCTCTCCCTCCCCCTCGCCCATCAGCAAGAGGCGCGCGAGCTTCATCGGCAATGTGGTTGCCCGGGGCACCCAGACAGACAACGAGGGAGAGGCGGCGTCGCCCATACACAGCGACGAGGGCAAGCAGGTACGGCCGGACGGTGCAGCACTGCACAGAGAGAGCCAATGGATGGATGGATGGATGCTTATTCATGTGTTGATTGGCTCCTTCAGTTGGTGGTGAGTCGTTCTGTGTCGTCGACGGAGAGTGTGTCCACTCCGTTCTTCCCATCGCTGCCCCGCCCCCTGCCCATCCACCCCATCCACCACCGAGCCAGCATCGACACACTGGCCGACTTAGACGGCTCCACCCCCGACAACCTCCGTCCACCCATCCCCAGCGACCTCGAGGGCGCCTCGTCGCAAAACTCCAATTCTTCCATCAGCACGAGCCTCGACTACTGGTGGGCCAATCGGCCCTCCAAGCCACAAAACCCTCCAGGGATGCCCGAGATGCGGCGCATCTACTCGGAGGCCGCCATGCTGGGGCGCGACAGTGACGACAGGGAGACACCCCTCGCCCGGCTCATGGCCGGCGTCAGCCCCGATGTCAGCATCGGCACCGCGGCCTCGCTGCCGTCGCAGCCGACCACATACACCCACACCCACACCCACACACGGACGAGGAGCCTGGCGGGAGAGCATCCTGTGCATCCTGTGCATCAGCTGGAGGCAAGTGACGGCGGTGGCGGTGGCGGTGGGGACGAGAAGCTCCACAGCCGGGGGGGCTCGTGGTGGAGTAGGAGTGACGGCGATGAGGAGGGCTTCGGTGAGGAAGACATCTACTGCTGCGACCCCATCGGGTTCATTTGACTGACTGACTAACTGACTGACTCACTGACTCACAGCCCGGGGGAGGGGGCAGGGGACAGGGGGCAGGGGAGTGGGGTGTGTATTGTATCACATGCATGTGTGCATGTGTGCATGTGAGCGAGCCAGCGAGCGATCGAGCAAGCGTGTGGATACCCACCTCTATGTATCTCTATCGACCTGTATGTCGATCTGTCTGTATGTCGATCTGTCTGTCTGCTTTTGTGTATGTCGGTCGGCAAGCTATCAATCTCCTATCTGGCGTCTGGCGTTTTTCGTCTAAGAGCAAACAAAACACGGACAGGACGGAGAAGCGGAGCGAAGCGGGCAAAGCAAGGGTCACAAAAGACAGAGAGAGAAGGGGGGGGGGGGGGGGG